AGAGTCCACCTATAGCCTCAGTTACTAGAGAAGCTGAGGCAGAAGGATCATTTGAGCCTGGGAGTTTGAGGCTAGCCTCATCAACACAGTGAGACTCTGTCCTCAGAGAAAAGGAGGAGGAGGAAAGTTTTTATGATTACTTAAAAAATAGTTAAATTACTCAACTTATACTGAATTTTAAAGCAAAAATATCTACATTGAAGGAAGTRCTTGCTTGTCTTGCTCTAGGGGTCCTCTTGGCCTACTTCTAAGCCCCAACTATCGTTTTCTTTTTCTTCAACATCCCTATATTTTCTCAAAATCATAGGAAACTGGTAGAGCTTGCATTAAAGCTGTGAGGAAATAAAATTGGAATGCTGTAATTGGAGGCAGGAATGCTATTTAGATTTAGTGGTCACTGTGATTGGAAACATGGGAATGATATGACCTAAAACCACATTCCAGTTATTAAGAAATCTCTCCAGCTACCAGAATGGAAGCAGTCAGGCTTCTATAGTTGCAGATGTCCAGTTTAGAGAAATAGAGAACCACGGGCTGGGGGTGTAGCTCAGTGGTAGAGTGCTCGCCTAGCTATAAGCTCTGACTTCAATCCCCAGCACTATAAAGTAAAAAAAAAAAAAAGAAGAAGTAGATTAGTAGACTACAGTGGTAGATTGGCAGCAGCAGTGTTTGCAACTTGTCAGGAGCCCTGAGGACACAGCCCACTCAGCTCTGTTTTTCTCTCTTTTTCTTCTTCTCCTTCTCCTTCTTTTTGGCACTGGTAATTGAAACCACAAGTGCTTACCACTGAGCCACATCCCTTTACATTTTTTTGAGACAGGGTCGCACTAAGTTGTACAAGGCCTTACTAAGTTGCTGAGGCTGGCCTCAAAATTGAGATTCTCCTGAGCTGCTAGGATTACAGGAGTGAGTCACCTCACCTGGTTTCTGGTGTGCTCTCTCTTTGTTACAGTACTGTGGTTTTCTGGGAAACTGAGGTAGTACAAAGGCCACCTTCAAAAACCCATTCTTTTTCTTTCTTTTTTTTTGGTACTGGGGATTGAACCCAGGGGCACTCAAACATTGAGCCTCTCCCCAGTCCTTTATTGAATTTTATTTGGAGACAGAGTCTCATTGAGTTGTTAAGAGCCTTGCTAAGTTGCTGAGGCTGGATTTGAACTTGAAACCCTCCTACCTCAGCCTTCTGAGCAATGCCAAGACATCAGCTTCAAACACCATCCTTGAGATCAAGTTAGAAAGATTTCAGATATATTGTTTAGAGTAACAGGCATGAATTTATTGAAGGGACAGGAAAAGAGA